ATTAAGTTTTTTATTTATAAATTTTAATTACTTAATTGCATTCTACTTAATGAGAAGGAGAATCTCAAACATTTTATCTTCTTGAAATGTATAAATATTAATTTAATTTCAACATTTTTATGAGACAAAAAAGATATTTTAAGCAAGTTAATCATAAGATAGTGTGCCTCAGGACTAAATGTAAAAAAAATTCTTCAAGTTAATTGTACATTACAAACATTTTTTTAAAAGTTAAATTGTTTATCGTTTTATTCATCGTTATGAAGTAACGTGCAACGCACGTGTCCATATACTAGTTCTTAAAAAAATGTGAATGTGGCAAATATGGTATTAATTAACAATTTTGATCAAATAAAGAGGTTACCCACAAATAAAGAGGTTACCGTATTAAAATATCATTAATGTTTTTGATGACTTTTTTAAGTAGAAAGAGGGGGATTTTCCTAGGATTATAGTCCCACCCCCTTATATAAAGAAGTATTTTTTATTTCTAATTTATGTGATATAGATTTTGATGAGTCGGAAATTTTAATTTTGAATATGAATGTAGATAAAAATAAGTTATAAAAATAAAATGTGTAAATTTGAAGTTAAAATAATTGACAATTTAAATTATTAAACAAAATATTTTAGAAAATTATAATAAAACAAAAGATTTATTAAAATATGTCACATAAATTGAAATGAATGATATAATTTTAACGCTTGTGCCCTTGATTATACTTTAGTTGACATTATTTTATTATTAATTCATTTAAGGAAAAAAGATACGTTCTTATATTTCATTTATGAGAAATTTTGATAGCCACAAAAATGTTACTATAGCATATCTAAAGCTGTAAATTTTAAAAAATTTATTATCACAGAAATGTGATGTTATATCTCAGATTAAGTTTTAAAATATATTTTTTATAATTAAATTTTGTGTCAAGTCAAACTTATTTATTTGATTTATGATTTTTATATGTCTTTTTATAGCGGGTCTTGTTAGTTTTTAAGGTCGTTTGATTTTGAACATAAATTATGTTAGAATTAGTTGTTCTTGTATTAATTATTATTGACTCTTTGATTTGTTGTAAAAAAAGAAATTGTTTATTCAAAAAACACTAGGAAAATAGTGAAAAAGGCTTATTGGATTTTCTACCTAGACTACATTCCTTGAGAGTTTTGTCATTTAAGTGAGTCTAGTAGATTTAGAACATTTAAAAAAATTGTGGTTTTTATTTTTAAGCTGATGAAAATATTATTAAAAGTATGGTATATTTTAGAATTCAAATACTTTCTTTTATTACGGTATTTATTTACTTTGTTCTAAATTTTATCAAGTGGTTCTTCAATAGCTTCCCACTTGACTTAAGCATACTGCAAACTATTGTTTTATTATTATTATTTATTATCATTTTTTTTATTTGTCTTAAATTAAAGTCTAGATATCACGATCAGACTGTCTTGAGTGACACTCTCACTAACCTTATCGTAGAAGAACCAATTACTAAATATTAACAATATTCTAAGCCATCAACCATTATTAAAAAGCAAACTCATTATATAAAACACGTCGAGCAACCAGTTTCTTTCATCTATTCCTCTAGTTGTCAATTATTAAAAAATTTCTCGTTCTGATACAGTATTTCGTTGCAAGATTTTCTAGTAGTTTGACATTTATGCTTTTTTTCTTTATTTAATAGCTAATTAATATGTTTATTTAGGTGTTGTTTTACAATAATGATATTTTACTTGTGTATCATTTTTTACCCCTTCTTAAAGCTCCCACCCTTTTTGTTCTCTTGCTGACTTGAATTCACAACCTTTTGGATTGGAAGTGAGTGGAACTTACCATCTGAGCTACTCTCTCTTGTTACTAGTATATGTTATTCACCAAAAGTTAGACTTTAGATTTAAAAAAAGAGATATTAATTTGGAATCAAAATACACCTTAATTACGACAATGCACATGTTTTTCAGACCCTTTTCCCCATAATACAATATATTATGAAATAATACATAACAATCATCCAAACAAAGTGTAATAGTGACTGAAAAATATAACGTTCCAGCCTGATCCGACTACGGCGTTATTTGAATCCTAATGTCCTGATCCTAAGGTTTTAAGTGGAATATTATGTTACGGCTAGTTAGTGAACATCCCGATGGCTCTTTATATTATGGAAAGAAATTATTTATTTATATGTTATTCAAGTAATTTTTGTGGTCTATTTATATGGACTAAGTTTGATTTATTTTTAATTTGCTCTTTATTGATTGATATATATTGTACGTATTAATCTGAATGCATTTCTGTTATATTTTTTTTAAAGCCAAGTCTCCCTCTTAATTAATATTAATATGTTTTCAGTATTATTAAGGAAGCACACAATTTCATCTTTTATGGCGGTCAATAACGACGGAAGAGTTATAGAAGTTACTAGAAGAAAAAATGTGATATGTAATTTTATTGAGTAACGAAAATTTAATGAATTGAAAAAAAAGAGCTAAGAAAACATGAAGTGTTAGAAAAAGGAGAAAATGTTGTGATTGACTGAAGATCAAAAGAGAGAAATAACTTTGTATATTTTTTTTGATTAAAAATCAATTATTAGTCGTTTTATAATGATGTTATTCTAAAAGGTCCGTTTGAAAAGCCACCTAAGCTAGTAATTATCAGTTTAGTAATTACATAATCTAATAATTTCTCTGACATATTTGTTTGCCACATTGTTATGATATATATATTATTTGAATGCACAATTATTCTAGATAAATAATAAACTTTATTAGGGGTATTAAATAAAAGTTTTAAGTTATATATTGTCTTTCGAAAATATATCAATTAATAAAGATATGTTCCTAACTATTACTACGAAAATATAAGTGATTTATAATTTTTAAATTAGTATATTTCAATTGAACTAATCATAAAAATTAAAATTATCAGAGTTCTATTAACATCATAAAATATATGTTTTGAATAAAAAACTTAATATTATAAATAAAATATCATAAAATTTTAAATTATTTAATAAAAATTAAATTTGTCTAGTCTAACTAAAATATAAATGACTTACAATATCAAGTCTCAAGTCAATACAATGTGAAATAGACAACTTATACCCTTCGTTACTTTTTGTATTAAAAACGTTATTGCTGTTATTCTAAGAGACCACATATACCCTCAAGAGTTAACACCCCATAACTTTCACTTATAGCAAACACAAAATTCATATTTGTATTTTATAGCAAAGTTTACATAATTGTGCTCCATAACAAACATATATGTATAATTCGTCATACATATACAATTGAAGCGAATTGTATAAAACGAGAAAGAGAGAAATTACATACAATTTGAATTTGTATAAAACGAGAAATAGAGAAAAGTAAAAGAGAGTTGGACAGGGAAATATTTGTATTGTATGATTATAAGTGTATAAGACGATTATACACAATTTGAATTTGTATAAAATGAGAAAGAGAGAAAGGCAAAAGAGGCTTGGACATGAAATATACAATTGAATCGATTGTATAAAATGAGAAATAGAGAAATTATATACAATTTAAATTTGTATAAAACGAGAAAGAGAGAAAGGCAAAAGAAATTGGGCAGGGAAATATTTTATTGTATAATTATAAGTATATAGAGAAGAAGATATATGTATTTGCAAGTATATATACAATTTTCTCTTGATTTATACAAACAGATACACAATTTATACAATTCGTTTCTGTTTCTATAAGCAATAAAGGCGAGGATAGCGAGCGAGATCTGGGAGAGTGACGAGCGAGATTTGGGAGAGGGGAGAGAGGGAAATGAAAATATATGTATATTTATTTTTTTCTCGCTTTATACAAACACTGCACTTGTGTTTGTATAAAAGTAAGAGAAAACGAGCGAGAGATGGAGCAAGAGAGAAGAGTGGCGAGCGAGAGTTTGAGGGAAAGAGGTGACTGACAATCAGTTTGCTATGAAACACAATTAAATCAAAGTGTGGTTATATCATTTCATTTAATTTATTAGTTTGTCATTATATACAATTTTTCCTATTTTTTTTTTATTTGGCAAGCCAAGTGGGACTTCCACCTAAGCATTGTCAACTAGTATGCACTATAAAAGAAATAGTCCTTTATAATTTAGGAGCAATTTTGATCCTTTCCGTTAAAATAAACACTTAAAATTAAGATACACGTTAATTACAACAACAAATATTTTTCGTAAAATTTAAAGATTTAACTGAAACATGTTATAGTTTCAAAACGTCAAATGTCTAACTGAAATTTTTTGATAAATATTAATTTACATCGCCATAACAAAATGGAAGGACCCGAACCGGTCGATCTATTTCTTCAATCCGAACCGTAATACACCAAATTGGGTAAATATAAACCCTAGCCATCCAACAAAAACCCTAGAATCCATTGAAAGCAAATTAGTAAGGGGTTAAAAGATGACACAAAAGGCAAATCTTTTCAAAGGCCAACAGAAGAAGAAATCAGTGCCGAGTCGACATGGAAAAGCTCCTCAAATTCGCAAAGGTATATGTATTTCTTTGTTAGTAATTTCATCGTTTGTGTTAGTGTGTATGGGGATTAACAAATAATTTTATTTACAGGGAAGAGAGCTGTGAAACCATCGAAGAACACAAAGCAGATGGATGTCGATCGGGTGAGTGTTTTTTAATTATGTTTGTGATTTCTAGGTTTATAATTTTGATATTTTGAGTTTATGGGTGTTTGATTTGCTTCCTTCCCTCAATCATATTGAATATCTGTTATGTGGCAACATTGTTTTGAGATTTTGTACCTATGTAATTTTCTTGGTGGTAAATATTAATATATGAAAGTTAACACCTCAAACTTCATAAATAATTGGAGAAAGGGAATTGATAAAGGGATCCTTAGGGGGTTGAGGGGTGGGTAAGGTACAAAGCTGGGATCTTTAATTGATCAAGTTAAATCACTCTGTCGGAGAATTGAGGTTAGTGATGACATTAGAACTTTAATTGATTAAGTTAGATTATTCTGTTGGAGAATTGAGGTTAGTGATAACATTAAAACTTTATTGATTAAGTTAAATCACTCTGTCGGAGAATTGAGGTTAATGATGACATTAGAACTTTATTGATCAAGTTAAATCACTCTGAGAGAATGAGGTTAGTGATGACATTATTGTTATTTTCTTCAGAGTTTTGACTTTGTTAAGTCTTGTGGAGTTATATGCCTTATTTCTTCATTTTAGGTCTATCAATTATTGTTCTTGAAACTTGGTTCTTTTGTTTGTATTATGGTTAGTAGTAGATGCACTTACTTTTCTTTTTGCTTTAACTAAGTTCAGTTAAGTGTGAAAAAAAATTGTGGAAGAGCTGTTATTGAAGTTTTATCACTGTGCCAAATATTATGAATATGTATGATTTGGATTTGGAAGTGTAATATGATACTTCTACAATTGATGCTTTTCAAAAGAGAGGAAGGTTTATGGAAAGAAAATAGTTAGAACTCTTAGTTTGCTGGAAAGGGCTTTATTTAGTTTCACAGTCCATTTGATCTGGGATCTTGATTCGGTATTCCTAGATGAAACATGAGACCTGGATAAACGCAATAAAAGAAGTGTTTAAGGAGGGTGTTCAATAAGATTAGGGTGCTATAGTAGGATAACACATCTGGGTTCATGTTCTTCTTCAAAGAGCTGAAGACACTAGACTGATCAAAGTTAATTTTAGTTTCGAGAGATTTACAGAAAAAATTATTTCTGCTCAACTTTGGTTTTTGAGTCGTTTAATTTTTATTTTGTACAACCTTTGAGTACTTATATATAGATGCCATAAGCAGTGAAGTTTAGGGTTATCAGGAGGATATTTATGCAGATTTGATATATTTAGAACAGAAGGACTGACTGGAGCGGAGAAAGCACCAGAATGGAATGCTTTGACCTTGTTAATTTCCTAAAACTACTGATTGCATTAGCTTGATCTTTGGTCAAAGTAGCTGTAGTTTCAACTGTAAAATTCAGTCAATACATTCCCTTGACCAATATACAGGTTTAAATGATAATGTATATAGTGGTATCTTGCAAATGACAAGCTGATTCTGTGTTACCAATGGTAGGAAAGTAAACTTGATTGACTGCCTTCACATTCCAATTGTTTTTACTTAGCAAATGATTAAGCTTTTGTCAATGTGATTTGTGGCATCACTATCTATCATTGCCACACAGAAGCAGCCTTCCACTAAATTAAAATGATTCTTTAAATATAGATGTGTTTTGTCAGATTATCTATTGCACCATCCTTTTACATCCTTTTAGCATGTCTGACTTATTGACCTCATAAAAGATATCCGGTGTTCAGAGTTCCGGGTTCACTGGTTTTTTTAAGTTTTAGTACTTGCCTACTCTCTCTATTTCAATTTATATGATAAGCTTTCCATTTTGGGATGTCCCAAAGTGTTTACATGATACCACAATTATCAGTATTTTATAGTATAACATTTCTTTTAAGTTAATATTCTCGTGAGCATATTTCCATGAACAATCATGTGATGTGTTTCATCCTCGAACTCTTATTAGTCCTGTTCTTCTTGAATAGCTTCTTCCTATGACATACAAGTAGAACTTTAAAAACTCGATGCACATACAGACGTCATATATATTAGTATGCAAGGTGTACTTAGTTATTTTGTTGCTTCTTCGGTATTTTTTGCAATGTGGAATATGAAATATGTCAAAACTCTAGGTCTCATTGTTCTTTTGTGTGGCCAGGAATTGACAAAGTTTATTAATCAGTGCAACGAAACAAAAGCAGCCACTTTTGCTACTAAGGATGGTGGTCAATTATGTATACTTAAAAAGCCTGAGTCCTCCAGTAAAAAGTCTGAATCCTCCAGTGGCGCTTCAAAGTAGTGCCTTAAGAATCAATTGTATAAACAAAATTTTTGATGCCAGTTTTGCTTGCTAAGCTCTTCATTTTCACCTTTTTAAGACCAAGTTTTGAGTGTCTTATTATTATTTTTTAAATGGATCGATCTATTTTTGTTGTTGGGCTTTTATTTTTTTTTATTAGCATGTGCCTTGTTCAAGGAGCTTCATATGAGACCAAGTACAATCAGGAAAAATAACCCGTCTCTTGTTTACTCCTTATTTGGCATAATGTTATTTGCATAAAGTTAGTTCAACTCGGTTCCATATCTTATATATTGTAAAAAATTCTGATTTCACCGCTCGATATATAACAAAATAGATCACTAGATACAATCATATCTGCGTGTATTAACTTCCAAATACCTAAAGACAAAGGGAACCATTGGTTGTTACAGATATAATCAGAAGTTTCCAACCATCATAATGATGATGTGATTAGGTTAAAATATTTGAATCTATCTCTTTTTCCTTTGTTTAACGTTTTGGAAAATAATAATTATACAGAATGTGAGATAATTATTAAAAAGAAGATATTTTCTTTTCCATTATTCGATTAATGCTTCCAATTTTTAGCAAAGTATATTTAAAAACTAGTATTCACAGTTTGGAACATGCCAGGCTGTTAGATTTCTGGTGAGATATTTTGTTTTCAGTTTGGAACATGCTTTTAAATGTTTTCTTTTTTATGTTGTAATTTTCAATAAATATAAGTCCTTTCCTGTCAGTTGCATTAATATATATATATATATATATTTCATTCCACCTACCAATTCCCATTATTTGCTTCTCTGTATATTGGCTCATAAATAAAATTGGGACACAGTAAGTTTATTTCAGGTTTCTTAACCTGATTCTGTCTTTTAATCTCTCAACGGTCATATTATTTATTATTTATCTAAGATAAATCGCATAAGTCATATCCTTGAAGGGCTTAGTTAGTATTTTCCTCTTACAAATATTATAATATTATTTATAGTACATTTATGCATAAAGTTGTCTCCGATAGATTTTTTCCTAAGTATTTATTGAAAATAATATGTCTATCTGACATGAAGTAAGATTTACGTATATTCTATCCTCTTCCATCGTTACTTTGTGGGATCACATCAAAGTATTTATTCATACAGTAGAAGTTTACATCAAATGTAGAGTGATACCTACCCACCCATAATTTACATAGAAGAATGTCTCGTCTATATATGATTTTGTAAATTCATATATAGTACATAATTTTAGAGGGATGTTTAAGTTTATTTATAAATCGTGTAACACTTCGAAGAAAAATTGAAAAGTTTTGAATTAACACTATTTTCAACATGCCTAAAACGTACTTATATTTTCAGGCGTACGATGAATACAAGCTAGAATGCTTCGTCTTTAAATTTTAATGTTTATTGCGTTAATTAGTTTTTAGCTAAACTATCATTCTTCGTATATCGTCACTTGCATACAAATTTGAGAATTATATTATGATCTGTACACTTTAATTTGTCATAGTATATAATATGTTGGTTAAAATTATGGGCACATTCTCGAATCAAATATAATCGACCTTGGTAGCATATATTTGAGGATTGCCACTAGGATTTTTTTTTATATATATAAAATTTGGGGATTGCTACGCAATTGAAAACGACCACTCAATCTCAATTATGTAAGAGATGCTACTTTCTTCGTTCGACCTCAATTATGTAAAAGATACTACTTTCTTCCGTCAATTTTATGTGTTATAGCATTGATTGAATACAATATCAAAATATTTAAAATTTGTGAATTAAAATAAATTATCGATGTTTACATGCTTATAACTCATCTAGGTAAAATAAAATGATAATAAACATGGTTTTGCTTTCATTAAAGAAATATATTTTTTGAGTTTCAATATTATATATGGTCCATGTAAATAATTTGGGTTGAAATTATGATAAGGTAGTGGACAGACTTAACAATGTGATAGATATATGAATATGAATATCCTTGTTCCACTCCATCTTGATATCCCTCTTCCTTTAATTATATCCATCTTTATTTTTATTCTATTTACATAGTATAAATCTTAGCTATGGTAAAAAAATATTTCCAAATAATTGGTATTTCATACCTATATTGATCACTTAAATATTCCTTACTAACTTAGATTACAACAAATGTGCTTTTTCTCAAATCTAGAGACATAGTGGGCATTCATTAATTTGATTTGGTTTAAGTTTTTTTATTTTTTTTATTTTGATTCTTGTATAACATGTATTGAATACTGAATCGAAATAATTTGGTTCGGTTCAATTTTTATTATTTTGGTTCGATTTATGTTATTTCGATTCGATTTTGTTATTTCATTCTTTTTAATGGGCCTGCTAAGTGTGTTTTTTAAAATTTATAAATTTATAAAAAAGTTTCTTTGATTTTTCAGCTTAATGGGTTAAAAATAGTTATATCAAAGAAGTGTTTTTTACTTTTTAATTTTTTATTTTAAATTATACAATTTATTATTTAACATTAATAATTATATAATATAAATATATATTATAAGATAATATATTTCGATAAACCGAAATACCGAATAACACAAAATTACATAACGAAAACTGAATCGAAATACCAAAAACTGCAAAAATATATACCAAATACCAAAAAACTAAAATTGAAATATCAAAAAAATTCAATTCAATTCGATATTTTAATTTTTCGATGTTTATGCTCCACCCTACCCAAAAACATTTTTTAGTGTCCGATTACTAGGGGAAAAAAAGTTAAGATGAAGATGACTTCCCAATGATGAACGGTAGTAATTTCATGTTAAAACAAATTATTTTTAATTTTATATTACTTGTTTCGATTCCTATCAATACATAATAAATTCTAAATATTAATATAAGCATTCTACTTCAATAAAAAGGGAGAAATTGCGTGTTTCATAGTGAGTCTTTCTTACCGTCAAGTAATTTATTAAAATATTTTAATAATAATTAAAAAAAATATCTTGTATTTATAAAGGTTCGAAGAGATTTATTACTATTACATTAAACTAATAAGATATATTTTATTAATATATTGGCACTCACTGATCAGCCACCAAAAGGAACTTTTTATTTGCATTAAAATGTAAAATAACTTTATTTACATCATGCACACTAATATAAAATTTCTCTAAAAAGTTAAATACAGTAAAATAATAAAAGTAAATTAGCTTTTACTCTAAAAATGAATCGGATATTTTTGTGCCACATCAATTACCACTTTAGCAGCCTCCATCTTGGTCTTTAGTCTTTTATATTTTATCGACAAAATCAAAAGTTTATAAATAAATTAATTTTTTAATAAAAAATAAATATATTTTTATTTAATCAAAATACTATAAAAATATTTAAAATAAATCGACCAAACAAGCTCTTAATCCCATAATAACAGCTCTTTAAAACACGAAACTGGTGCAAAATATTTTCAACTAAAATGAAACACGTGCGAGAAACAGCCGCAGCAGTGGATCGTGTAGACACGCGCCGTACGATGCACGTTTGGAATGTTTTTACCAAATTGGTGTTCAAACAAGTAAATAAAAGCAACACTTTGATGCGCCCACCAATAGCATCAGTCACCCCCACAATTCACATACCAACAAAATCTAAACGTTCCTCTCCTCCATAACGGAATAATCATCTACTTTATCCACGCGCCGCCGCACTCTTCCCGTCGTTCATGGGTGCTGTAGAACCTGTAAGCACATACAGCTCCATTATTTCATTTCATTTTCAATTTTTGGTGATTAAAAGTGGAATTGAGTTTTTTTTTTTAATTTTTCTGTCTATTGTTAGGTAGTTGACGAGGAAAATGGAGAAAAGGAGACGAAGATACGAGATGTGGAGAAAGGTGAAATGGATAGTCAACAAAGGGGATTTCAAGGTCAGCCTACGCCGGCGCCGGCGCCGGCAGAATCAGGCGGTGAGAATTTTCACATGTCGAGAATGCAGAGATTGAGTGCTACGAATCCTCTGAGGCTTGTGATGAATGCCGGAACTAGAGTTGCTTCTCCTTCTCCTTATAACGCTCCGCCACCTGCTCAACATCGTCCGCACCGTTCTTTTCCGAATCCTTTTCACCACCGTCATCCTCCGGCTCCGGCGCCGTCTCAGCAACGCCATGCTCCGGTGCCGGAGCCGGCTCCGGTTCCAGCTCCGTCTCAGCACCACCCTTCTCCGGCTCCTTCTCAGACTCGCTCTACCCCTGCTGTTACCCCTCAAGTATGTTTCTGAGCTTAACATAGAAGGGCGTGTTTGGTACAATGAAAAAAATATTTTTCTAAAATGAAAAATAGTAAGTCATTTTTGAGGTTCAATTATAAAAGAATATTCTTTTTCATTTTCAACGAAAGCATAAAATATAACTTACTTCATGTTTGGACAAAAAATATTTTTATGTCACAATTATTTTCAACTAAACTATTTCTAAGAAAATAATTCATTTTATTTATTTGAAAAATAACTTCTATCATGGACCTGGCCGGAGCTAGCCAGGCGCAAGAGGTTCGAATATTTCAACATTTATATATGATTAAAATTATTTTTAACATATAGATTATGGAGTATCAAATAGAGCTGAAATTCTTTTTCATTTTTGATGTGTCTTCAAGTTTTCAGTTTTCTTAATATTTGAGCAAATCTGAAAATATTTCTTCTTGTTTATTTTTTAAACCTGCAGCCTTCAGTAATAACACTGAATTCAAGATCCTACACAAACAAGTTTTCACTATTTCTGTTCCTTATACACATGATTGGTGCAATTGGGCTAGTTTGTTTTCTTGTATTCAAAGGGATACAAGGTTTACTAGAAGCAGGGGAAGCACAAAGAAAAGAAAAGAGGCTATTAAAGTTTTTTCTACCACAAGTAGAAGCAGTTTCTTTACTTAGCATAACACTAGCATTTACATGGCAAAAGGCAATGAGATTGTGGCCAACATTCATGGTTCATTTCATACTTTGGGGTTCGTTTATCTTCACATTAGCAGCTGGAATCCTATTAATATGCTTCCAAAGACCATCAACTGATGGTGTTGGAGTTGTTTTAATCATATTTGCAATTGGAAATGGATTGTATTCTTGTTGGGTAACACCAAGAATTAAGTTCTGTACAAAGATTTTAATTAAATCACTTGAACCTGTACCTAAATTTGGCGATTTGAATCGTCCAACTTATCTAACATTAGCTGCTGGATTCTTATGGATGTCAATGTGGATTTTGGCTGTGATTGGGGCTATAA